CACTGTCTCTGACACTCCCATCCCAATTATCCCAGTCACTGAATCAATCCACCTCATAGAGGGCCTTCCTCTCCTGCGCCGTCCCTCCACCCTCCAGAAAAATATTGTCGATATGTATAAAAAAATGGCAAGAAAAAAGACTCTTAATCCTGGCTGAGGTGTAAATCTGCAGCTAAAGTATAATTAATTATTACTGCACTGCCTACAAAGCTTTGACACCTGCAAGTAGCATTCACAGTACCTCACTGGTAACATTGTTGACTCGTCGGACATTGACAAATGGAACATCATTGGGGCCAAGTGTGTACCCATTTGCCTTGATGTGTTCATAAGCTTCTTTGTACTTGAACTGTGAAAACAAAGTTGTAATGAGATCAATGCAAGGTAAACAATGGCATGAAATTTACCCCATAGAAAAGAGGCTAGGGAGGGGAAAAAAACGTCCTAAACATGAGTATAAAAAAAAAATGTATCAATATAATTTCAATATTAATTCAAGTCTATATTGACTAAGTCTTTATTAGCTCAAAGAATACATTGATTAATAAAGAGTCAGAAAGGAATAAAGTTCAACCTTGCAATGTCTTTGTAGGCATATATGCAAAATGCAAGAACAATCTCTATTATTAGCTCCAGTGTGTCTGAATAATTAAGAAGTACAAAGATGGAACAAGAAAATTTTTAAGACTAATGAATGGCTTTAGAGATGGATTAATGAAGTGCAATGCTACATTATTAGATCCATGGCTCTCTATACGGAATCAAGGTCAGTCATCAAGTCAGAACCTAGTCCCAGCTGACCCTCCATTGGGCTTCTGAAGCTATAAAAGCACATGGGAGGAGACTGTTCATTTTCCTCCTGCAAAACTGCTGGGGTATTCAAACTGCCAGAGAAACACAGTGTTTGGATTAGCAGGGCACCTCCCTATGGACTAAGCTGAGAACCATGTTCCTAGGCTGGGCCACAGTCTGTCACACTCTGTCAGAGCAGCCAGTTTGATTTCCAGGCCTTTGAAGGGAAATGCAGAAGGATGAGCTTACTCTTTAGATCTAAACCTCAATTTAGACCTAGGTCTAAATGTAACCTTGCTTAAAGTCAGCAGAGCAGGATCACTGTAAGAGCAAACTGTCCCTGGCCTTTCCCCATGCGGCAAGAATCCATCAAGTCCCATGTGCTTTTAAAATATAGCAGTGAATCCCCCATCCCCACATGCGGGTAAGCCAGTAGCAGGGAGAGCCCATCTACCCTTATGAACTAGGTACGGAGGATGGGGGCGAGGCAAGGATGAGAGCCAGCAGCTGGGAAGGACGTCCTTTCAAGGAAGCATACAGTGATGCTGTATGAAACAGCAGAAGAGAGGTGACAATTACCAACCCCTATCAGTCAGGCATGCATAAAATTGCCTTTCTGGTTCAGTATGCTTCAATGCCAAGGTCAGCAGAAATACAGGCATGATAACATGGTGGCCTTGGGAAACTGGCCTATGCACATCCAAGTCCATGAACATCCTCTCCTAAGCCACTAGGCTGCTCAGCCCTGCTTAACCGGAGGAACAAACCAAGTTCACAGCACACCTTTAATAGCTTCTTTTTCTTCACTGCTATCATTAGATTACAGGGATTTTCTAGATTTGATTGAATGGCCTCCTTTCCATATGTCTTTTCAGGGAGGGAGGTCCATCCCTTTGGGAATGTAACTTCCTAATAAATCTATCTTTACTATTTTACATTTTTTTTTTTAAAAAAAGGGGGGATGTGATTGTGGGGATGAAAATGGGCCATTAACTATCATTATCCTTGTTTCCCAAATTCCATCTTCAGGTAGAGGAGACCACTCACATAACTGCTCATGTATCGGTTTTCCTTGTTGTGTTTGAAGTGAGGCGTGTCGACAGGAAGCCGGTAGCCAGTGGGCAGTGAGCGCAGGCCAGGTCCTCGGTACAGGTTCTGCCGGAAAGAGGAAAGGGGTGGTTAAATGACACATTGACCAGAGGGGGAAAACCACATAAAGCACACGTCAGGTTTTTATCAGGTACTCAACGTCTTTGTGTTCATGGAATTGACCTCAGGAAGAAATGAAACAAATTGTAGGCATCACAGAGAGAAATTAACCATCTTTAACCTATTGTTTTAGAAAAAGGGGATACTTGATGAAGGACTGGTAGAAAGTCATTTGTCTATGCTTCCAAATATCTGCTGGCCAGTGGACTGCATGGCAGCTTAGCAGGAATTTGGAGAAAGTAGAGAAAACACCCGGCCTAGGGGCAGCACTCTCCTTTATCCCACCCTTGGGTGATATTTTAAGATGTCATTTTGTGAGACAGTCACAAATGTAAGGCACATGTTTGGGACACTTCAGCCCTCACGAGGTCTTGACTCCAGATGATGGAAAAGCCACGATGTTCATACTTGTGGCAAAGGATTGGGATCTCTGTGATAGAGACAGAGTAGGAGTCTCTTTCAAATGACAATAGGATTAAGGCTAGTATTTAAAATAGTAAAAAATAAACTCTTTCAAACATTCAGTACAGCACTGTAGTACTACAAGAGGCCAAATCAACACCCTCAGCTAATATTTAATAGGATATTAACATGCATGTTGGTTTAGCTTCTCCGTCCTCTGAATTCCAACCACACATTCTGGCTTCATTTCCTATTTTTAATAGCCTTTTACAATTATATACCTTGTCCTTCCCAATTTGATTTTAAGCTTTTTGAAGCAGAGATTGTAGATTTGCTCTCCCATTTGGAAACTAGAAAACATTTCATTTCACACACACCAAGAAATACTTAGTGCTTGCTTGATAGCTTGATGGGAGAACTCTGACAGCAACAAGGGGAGAAAGTTTATGTCCCGTTTTGTTTTCTGTTTCCATTTACTAAAGTGAACAGAATAGGATTTATCAGGTCTTGTAAAGAGGACATTCAAGCGGAGGTCACTCCTCCAGATGCCAGTGCTGACACCCCTGGATTTCTCCCGGGCATTCCATTGAGTGCTCACTGCTCACCTCACTCTGGAGCTTGTAAGCGTGCAGGGCACGGTCCAGATCCACGGTTTTTGTAGTTGGAGCCACTTTGCCTCTGACACTGTGGATGTAGTCATGGTGGTAGACAGCCTGGTGAGAGAGAAATAGAGAGGGTCTATTCAGATGACGTCCACATTGTTAATGAGCACAGTGCAAATGGAAATCACGTGTCTCTTTAAAAGAGTTTTATTTAATTGTAACTGTATTTATATGCCTTGAACATTCTGGGTTTTTTTTCCTTATATATTAACCTGTGACTTAAAAAAAAAATAGAGCTACCCCTCTCCCCCCACCCCACTTGTTTTTCCTGCTCCGTATCAGGCACCATAGTGCATTGCATAAATTTTCCCATTTTAAGGGAAGATGCTGAGGCTTAAAGGGAATATGTAATTTTCAGACACCTCAGAGATTCTATATGACAGAGGCAGGATTCCAAAGCACCTCTCTAACTTTAGAGCTTAATTCCTTCTCATTCTTTCATAATAACCAAAGCCTGTTGAAATAATTTCAAATGGTGCCCCTGTATGTGGCAGAGTTGAACTGCACCCCACAGCATTTTCAGTGACTACAAACTTTTGGAAGTAGATCACCAGATCTTTTCTTCTGCAGCACTTTTGGGTGGGCTTGATCTGTCAGCCTCTTGGTGAGTAGCTAAGCTCTCAACCATTTTCGCCACCCAGAGATTCCTATTCAACCACAGTTAGCTCTAGAAAGTCTAGATAGTTAGTCAGAGGTCATGGCACAAATATAACAAGCAGTCCTTGCAACTTTAAGCCACAGAGTATTTCATGTACCAAAGCACTTACAACTCCATTCAAGTGCACTACTGGAAACCTGCAGGCTTTAGAAAAAGAGGTATCTGAAGCATTTTCTAAGGCACCGACTGTAGTTTTCCAGTTAAGAAAAAAGCATGACATTGTCCAGCCTTTAGTTTTTGCCACAGTGGCCTCTAGTTTTTTCTGGACAAAATTTTACCTATTACCTTCCCCTTCCTGTCAACATTGCACTGTCTAAAGCAACTGCGCCAAATAGTACTTACGTCACTTAGCTGATTCCCACTTCTGACAGCCTGGACATAGACTGGTGTATCAGTGACCAGACTGTAGTCGTTTCTGGTTTTCAGCACATGAGCTTTGTACTTGATCTGCCAAGGGGGTAAGAAAAAGAAAGAAAGCATTTGTGGGACCGTTCATTATGAGAGAAATTATTGGTTTTGCAGTGGACTTGTTTAGATTTAATCTTTGGGATTTGCATCCATCAGCACTCACTAAAGAGAGCAAAAGGCAACTGAATTTTATCACATCCAGGCCAATCAGTGTTTATGGTCATGTGGCGCTTCCAGAGTCTTCTAGGGCACTTGAAAACTGCTCTTTTAAGAATGCTTCACTTTCTTACTGAAATCTTGATTATAGAAAATTATAGTATAATAAGGATTTGCCCAGCAAATTTTCTCATTACAAGTAAATCCTGCCTCTGCCTCTGCCTCAGCACAAGGGAGCTCTGGTGGCATGGTCCACACAAGCCACACTGCTAACACAAAGACAGCCTCTCTCTGTTGGTTAGAACCCACCAGTAGCTCTAAGGAGAGACAGGCAATCTCCTCCTATCTGATTCCCAGCCTTCAAAACCCAACTGGAGGGTTTCTGAGTCAGTTCCAATTTGGTGGCAACGAGTTATAACACAAACTACTAATAAATGAGACTTTCTACTATGCAGCACTCAGAAGCAATGATTTTGAAAAATATTACATAACTTGGGAGAGACTGGAGAGCATTATGCTATGTGAACTAACTCAGTCTCATAAGGAAAAATATTGCATAAGACCATTATTATATACATAGAAGGATAACTAGTAAAATATGTATGGGAATCTAAGGAGGAAAGGGGTGGAAGTGGAGCGGTGAGGATGTGCACAGGGTTACACAGTTTGGTGGGTGGAGGGAACAGAGGAAGGAAATGAGAAAGATCCAGGAGAAAAGACAGGGTAATGATGGGCAGAGTTCAATGGTGATTGAGTTTATAAAACATAATGCATGCGAATGATCGTATGAATCACAATGTGAATGGAGAATACTGTGAAGTACAATGTATACAAACTGTGTAAGCAAACCAATAAAAAAAGATTTAAAAAAAAAAGAATTATATGCTTTATTTTCCAAATTAGTGCAAAGGATGGGGAAGAGTCAGGGACCCTTTTGCTCTCAGAAAACAAGACTACAGCTTCACTACATGTTTAAAAGGAATGCTGTCTGCAATCCTGAGAAAGATGCTCTTTTATTCCTTCACGTCTTCTCGCACTCAAGCAACCTCAATATCACTAAGCCCCATGTAACCAACAGATTTGGGCCAGTGTTCCTATTTTGCATACTCTCACTTTGGACTCAAGATGCACAAGGATGGAAACAGTCTTAAAAAAACCCCAAAATCCCAGCCCCCCCCCCCCCCCAAATCAAAGGCAAACTCACATCATTGCGCAGGTCATAGGCATGCTTGGCATGGAGAATTTCAGGAGTGTCCCAGACATAGCAACCAATGCCTTTCAGCCAGGTAAGATCGTCCTTGTAAACAATCTAGATTTCAACAGGTGAAAAGAATTAAAAAATTAAACCATAATCTTAATACTAAAGCATACAGATACATTCTGGTATGGCTACTGTGGTGAACGATTTGGTGATTTTTAGAAAGAAACCTAGAATTATCATGTGACCCAGCCACTCCAATACTAGATATATGCTCCAAAGAATTAAAGGCAAGAATGCATGCAGAAACCTGTATGCCAGTGCGCAGTTGCAGCATTTTTTTTAATAGCCAAAACGTGGAAACAATGAAGATGTCCATCAAGAAAAATGGATATAAATAAAACATGGTTCATACACACAAAAGAATTCTATTAAGCCATAAAAGATATATGAAGTCCACAACAGAGATGAACATTGAAAACCTGTTCTGTGGAAGAAGTCAGTTATACAAAGAAATACATAGAAACTAAAGATTATTAGTGGCTATTAGGGGGAAAAGTGAGGGGGAAATGGGAGTTTTGGTTTGGGATTTATCTTAACAGTGGCGGAATGTTGGGAAAGGATAATAATAATGGCTGCACCACTTGAAGAATGTCATCAACATCACTGACTTGTGCCTGTAGAAACTGTTGAAATGGTGTATGATTTGTTATGTTCTGTCTTCCCCACAATAAAAAGGAAAAACAACTTACTAGTAAGATGTATACAAAAGTGAAAAGGGGGATGGGGAGTGGGGAGGAGGCTGAAGATGAGGAAATCTTGAGGTCACAGAATTATGTGGGCACAGTGAGGGATTAAAGGGATTTGGAAAGATCCAGTGGGGACCTGAAAATGTGGGGTAACGGTGGGCATGGATCAATGGTGATTGCTTTCATAAAACACAATGTGTGAGGGGAATATTAAGAAACACAATGTGTATAGGGGAACGTGTAAAATACAATATTTATAAATGAAAAAAATACACACAGATTTTATATACAAAACAATATGAAATAAAAAGAATTTAAAAAATGGAAAAACAAAAACATAGGCACACACTGGACAGAAAGGTGACTTTGTGAAATGAAAAGGGAAAACACATCAAGGAGCCAGGTCTTTGGTGCAACAGAAGCACTGACTCCCCAAGTCCTCTTGAAGAGAGAGTGGCCAAATCTAATCAGACCCATGGACATGCATGCAAGGCTGAATGAAGAAAAATGTGCCTCTGCTTCTTTTGTAGGTAGCTAGAAGGAGAAATGCTTCATAAGCAGCAGGCTTACATCGCTGATCTGATCTGTGACTTTCCGGACGTGGCTGTTGACTTGTAAGTCAGGGTGGCAAATCCACTCATGCAGGTGCCGGCGATAGTCGATCTCACTGACTTTCTTCTGCGAATCCTTAGCTGTCACCATCTCCACCATGTCAGGCACCATGTGGATTTTCATCTTATTCTTTTCATAAACTGATCTGTACAGGCGCTGTGGAGTTAAAGAATCAGGCCTGTTACCCAAGAAATGGTGCAAAGTTGCGTTATAACACCTGTTTTTCCCATACATCACAGAAGTCAGACGAACAAAGATCCACCCCAAAAATGCAGCCTGGGCAAAAATAAATGTTTGGCTGCTTCTCGTATGCACAATTAACGATACACACGTGCTCTGATTTGGGATTACTTACGTCAATGTTAAGCTTGCCGACCCGGAGGCACCGTGCTGTGTTGGGATCGTCGTCAACACTTCTTGGTAAAGTGTAAAGAGCTTTGAATTTTTCATATTCTTCCCGATATTTGATCTATATAAAACAATTACAAAAAAGAAACATAGTTTGGGAGAGTGATGAGTATTGTCCAGAGAGCATGGGGTCTTGCTTCTGAGGTTCAGCCCACTTGGAGTCCATTATCTTTGAGTTTGTCTATCTGTGCCGACAAGCTAACATCAGTAAAACCTTGTACCCGCCACAGGGTTATTGGAAACAGTTCTTAAATTGTAAAGCATTATCAAGCGTCAGTTATTGCCATTAAAATTCCTGTATTAACACAAATATTTGTAATAATAACATGTTTTTTCTTAAAACCATAAGTTAAAGCATGAAAATGAACTCAGGAATTCCTTTGCTTTCTTTTAATTTACAGAATTAGTTTTAGGAATTCTTTTGTTTTTAATAACTGACTAGCCTCATACTTGAGAGAGGGACCAGACCTCTGGTGGCCCTAATGGTAAGAAGCTGCACTGCAGTCCCAAAGGCACATGGTTCATAATTCACCAGCTGCTCTTCGGGAAAAAGATGAGTAAGTTTCCTCTCATGTGATTTACTGCCTCTGAAAAACCCACTGTAGGGTTAGCTACAGGTTGGTTCCAACTTGACAGCAAACAACAACACAATACCATGCTTGAGAGAGGAGCTTTGGTGGCCTGATGGTAAAGAGTTGCACTGCCAACCCAAAGGCAGGCAGTTGGAATCCACTAGCTACTCTGTGGGAGAAAGACTGGCAATTTCTTTCTATGAGATTTACAGCCTCTAAAAACCCACACGAAGGTCAGCTATAAGTTAGGTCTGAATGTCAGCTATGAGTTAGGTCCAACCTGATGGCACATAACAACATAGTTAAAAGACAGGTACATTGAATTTCCGTTTCTACAAGGTTGGTTTTTAAAAAATAAAAATAAAAAAATACAGCACAACCAACTTCTGTGAGAAAACAAACTTTTAGACAGTTATCTTTAGTTTGAAAGCCTTGTTAATTAATGTTACGTGATGATGTGAACTAAGTGGTAAGGCCCTAACAGAGAATAAGATCCAATATTAGTTCTCTCATCAGCCAGAGAATTATTTCTCAGTGGAAAAAGAGGAGATAGGAGTATCTCTGTCAGAATCCTAGCAAAGCCCTATGTTGACTCAATGTTCTCAGTGCTGTTGAGTCAGAACTGACTCAATAGACTCAATAAATCAGTGTTTGGAGGCTGTAAATCACATGAAAAGAGATTGCCCCTCTTTCTCCCAATGAGTTTCTGGTGAATTGGAACCTCCAGCAAGGCACTACTTACCCATCAGAATTTTCCAGAACTATAATCGTTCACATGCTTTTTATAAATGCAGTGTTCAAAAGTATTTTTTTTCTTTTTAAACTGAGATTGGAATCTCCCCCCCACCCCCACCCCCACCCCCGGTCCCGGTTAATATCTACATCCCTCCTTGTTTAAGAAACAATTTGCAAAGGCTCTTGCATGTATGTTCTTCAAGACTGAAAGAAAACATCTCTAGGCTTTCTAAAGGGAGCTAAGGTGGCCTCTCCCCTGGGAGATTCACGACTAACCCAAAGCCAGAGCCTCTCTGGTGGTTCAAATATAGCGGTGACTCATCAAGGCAAAGGAGGGCAATCTCCTCCTGTGCAATTTATAGCCTTGGAAACCTGTGGGAGGGTCAGCCAGGAGTCAGTTCTGACTCCACGGCAATGAGTTGAGGCTTTCCAAATCCTACTTACAAAACTTGTTTTCCCAAATGACCAGTTTATTGCTTTGTGCTAGATCATTTTCAGTCTTCTAAATAGAATTTAATATGGATAAAATAATAGATACTGATTTTTCTTTAGAAAAAAATAAAGATTAATTCCATGTATTGTCCAAAAAAATGTTTTTCGAAAACAAACATCTCTAAACACATTGAATGGTGGTGAAACCAATTCACCGAGTGACTAGCATTTAAGTAAATGGAATAGACCAGAAATTATCCTAGTGCGTTACTTGTAGTGAAAAGGTAAGTATTTTTATGTGAACTGATTATGTTAGAGAAAAGTTAATGTACATTTCAGTAGTATGTATGTGTATATGGATTGACTGTAATGTTCAATAAACTTCTCACTATGGATCTTAGACAAAAAACTTGAAGGAATACTGGCCTAAAGCATTTTATAAAATGTTTAAAGTTACAAAATCTAGATCAGTAAAGTTTCTGAAAGAGAAATGAATTTGGGAGTATTTGAATAAAAGTAATAGGGAATTTTGCCTTATTTAAAACCATTTTAGCACAAACTGTTCAAGGTCGTAAGATTTTCTATTATATTTAAGCAAGGATTTGGAAACAACCTAAGTGCCCATCAACAAACAAAAGCTAGAGAAGCTGTGGTATATTCGCACAATGGAATATTATGCTGCATTGAAAAACAAGGAACTCATGCAATATTATTCAAAATGGTTGACTCTGG